TTATAAGCTGTAGCCTTATTTATGCTTAAACTCGCCAATGAATTTTAAATTGATAAAAAGCAAAATCCTTGCGCTAAAGTGTATTGCTATATGTATTTTTTATTTTTTCTCAACAGTATGTATTAAAATATATTTTGGAAAAGAAAACTTGCTTATTGGATTTAGATTTGGTTCTAATTTGACTTGTGAATGCTACTTTATAAATATACATATAGTTCGAGCTTTAGTTTCTTCTTACATTACATATTTGAACCAAAATGTGTTATATATACATTGAACTCAATAATATTACCTAGAGTCTTTCTATAATTGATTAAATAGGCCTTAGACATTAAATAAATATATTTGTTTATATATTGCATCCATGTGAAGCTTTTCTTTCTTGTTTAATATGTTGTGATGATTGCTATCCTTTAATGAGAATGGTATTGGTTTAATTTAAAGGCTTTGAGATATTTATTCACTGTAAGCATGCTTGTAAATATTAGTTAAAGAAATTTTATTTTCTTCCTATAGAAGAATGTATAAGTTAGTTGGGCGTTACAGTTTATTTCATACTTACTATTAAGGTACTTATATTGGAATTGAATAAATAGAATGTATATTTGTTTCACCTATTAGTTACCTGCATGTATAATCCTTTCTTATTGTTGTACATGTACACTTTGGGAGGAAAAAACGGAGTTTCGATTAGGACTCTACCAATTATCGAGTCTCATAGACTCAACATTATCCTCACACTCGCACATGGAGTCTTCACTACATCTTTGACCATTCGAAATTGCAAGCAAAACAAGTGGTCCTGTCTTGGAGTCACTTATGGCTACTTACATTTTGCATTATTTGTTTACGTGTTTGTCTTTACATGTTATACTTGCTTGTGTGATTTAGATATTTCTAGTTTGGATTCATGATAGTTGACTTAATATAGGTATTTGGATTTGGGTTCCTTTAGTTAGAAACAAATCGTATTAGTTACTTTAGCTTTTACGAGCTTCATTTGGCAAACTATTTTTTTAAAAAAAAAACACTTCTTTTTGCACCACTTTAAACTCACTAATTTATTAAGTTTTGTTCACACTTTGATATGTCTTTCAAAAATAATAATAATAATATATGTTTGTTCTAAATTCTTATTTTTCTAAATCTTTTTCTAAAGGGAGCACCTTGTTAGTCAATGAGCAATTGTCTATTTTTTTTATTACTTATTTTCAGTCATGGATTTATCTAATTTGATCCAAAGAAATTACTCTTTCTTAAAATATTTTTTTTTATTGTAATACAATTGTGAAAAGAGCTTTGAAATAAACAATGTTTTACAACTTGGTTACTCAATTACTTAATCTTTAGCATTCATATCTTCTTTTTAAAATTAATTAACCTAAGTTTGGTCGGTAATCGTATTTTTAACGAATCTTAAAGGATGCCTTATCCCTTCCCTTTAGGATAAATTAGAACTCTTACCTAGAATCTTTTTAAGTTGGTAGACCTTAATTGAAGTCAATTTTGGCATTACTTAGTTGAATATTTAGGTGTCCTAATTCACCATAATTAATTAGGTGGCGACTTCTTAAATTAGTTAATAATTTTTAACTCACCAATATGTTGTACACGTTTTGACCTCGAGTTAAAATGGGGTATAACAGCTTGGCGACTTCACTGGGGACTTTAGGTTCTAAACCATAACAAACTTAGGTTAATAATTAAGTTTTTAACACCTGCTAGTTTCATTTTTGTTGTTTGTTTTATTTTAAATGCCTAAATGCTTAACTTATCATGCTTATATGATATAAATTGCTTATTTGTTACTGTTTTATATAAATTGTTTATTTGCTACTCTTCATATAAACTGTCATTCCGATCATTATTCCTCCAATTCTGGAAAACTCACACTATAACACGTACACGCGAGGTGTGTTTTGCGCACCTGCAAATTTCTTTCAAAATCCCAAATTTAGGAGAGTTGGCATATGCGCGGGGTCTCCGGATCTTTTTCCGTGTGACCGCGTAGCCTTCTCACTCGAGTTGTCCACTCGGGAACCTTGTGTCTAGTAAGCCAAATCTTAGAAAACATAAGATAGAGCTAAACCACCCCTTAATTTAAGTCATGCATGCATTCACCTTAGGTGGATCGATCCCGGGTATCGAATCCACATTTAAGAAATCTACCCTTTTTGTCGACGGGTTTCACGACCCAACGACCAATAAGCATGTTTTGCGCAACGTGATAATGATAGACAGATCCAAGCCTAATTTTGACATAATGAGTTTGGAATTTATGTGTTCATTTCATTTCAATTTGTAATGTATGATGAGTTCAGCCTCCCAAGTGCCCAAAGTTAGGATGGTCGAGGGTTTCCCGCACAAATTGAGGACATGGTGGGAAAATTTCACTCCAACTGAGAAATTAGCGATTACAAGAAGGTTGGGGTGCCTCCCTCTGCTATTCAAAATCACCCCCGACAAACACGTGATTAGAGCACTAATTCAGTTTTGGGATCCAAACCGTGTTGTGTTCGCCTTCAAAGACTTTGAACTAACCCCTACATTGGAGGAAATCCTCTATTTCACCAGTTTGAAGTATCAAAGAATGGGTCAAATTATTCCACACAGTCAATCAGGGAAGAAATTCCTTCGCTACTTAGGGTTGAAAAATGAAAAGAAACTTCGGTGCTTCGAAAATAATTGGGTTTCTTTGGACTACCTATATGAGAGGTATGGACGCTCAGATAGTTACAAGCTGTTTAGGAAAGAGTTCTCTTGTACTCAAGTTCATTGGCAAGTTAGACATCCTATTGCATTTGCTGTGGCTTTACTAGGGACTTTGGTATTCCCACGAGAACACGGATGCATTAGCACTTGCATATGTTCTGTGGCTCGAGTACTTTTTGAGGGAGTAGATGGCGAAGAACTCACTGTGGTTCCCATGATTTTAGCAGAAATATTTCGAGCTCTTGGGAAATGTAAAAGAGGGGAATCAAACTTCTTTGAAGGTTGCAATCTTCTTTTACAAATGTGGGCAATGGAACATTTTCACCAACGTAAAAACATGGATGATATATGTTTTAGCAACATAAATCATATTAACAGTTTTTACGATAGGATGAAAGAGTTTGTGTATCCTGTCACACCCCAAAACCGGATGTGATGGCACGTGCCCAAACCCCACCGGACACGTAAGCCTAACACCCAAAAACCCGACGATGCGGAATTAATAAAACAAGAATAAGATAGAAAGATAAGCGGAAGTCTTTAAATAAACTCAACATAACCCCAGAATTGGTTGTCACATGTACAAACCTCTAATACGGAATCTGAATAAAATATACAAGTCTCATAGTAAAGTTCTAGAATAGAACAGAACAATAAATATAGATAACTTAAGGGCACGTCTGGAATGAACCGCTACCTCTCAAGTAAGTCTGGAAGCTCTAATCTGAAGATAAGTAATAAGCCGGATCTGATAGAGCTGTCAACCTACACAACTGTGTAGAAGCAAGGGTGAGTACCAAAAGCAACAGGTACTCGCAAGTAACACTAAACTAAGCTAAACTAGCAGCTACAAACAACTCCTTTCAATCCCAACCGAACCACCGAAACTTCATTCTAACAGCGATCCAACAACTTATACTACACAATTCATAATCAACAGATATATCCAACAGTGTCTCAACATCAACCTCATATCCTCATGTAAGAGCAAATAGATCATATATCACATGAAGAGGGGCAAATAGGTAAAGTCCACACACCACAGACAAAGATGAAGTCAAATGCGATGCAAATGCAATAATGATGTCATGTAGTCGTGATGCATGTCTGTCCTAAGATACACATCTGTTGACGTAATCAGACCGCGCTGAATACTCAAATCAGAACCCATGGGGGCCACACATGGACCATGTATCACCGCCGGAACCAGATCCCATCGGCATCCAAATCGCTAGTCCATCTCATATATCTCTAGCCGGAGCTAGTCTCAACTGTGTCTCATATCCATCCATCCTCATATCAGTGTCTCAGAACTCATGCAACAGATAGTTCACACATGGGATGAATAATGAATATGCACATGTCATCAATCACAATCATATCACGATCACATCATAGTATTACACATTATCTGTCTCAATCACAACCATATCACGATCACATCATAGTATTACACATCATCTGTCTCAATCACAACCATATCACGACCACATCATAGTATTACACATCGTCTGTCTCAACATCAATGTCTGTATCAATCATAGCCTACTCATGCTCTTCTATCCCCTCAATATCAGTTATCACATGACTTATTCAACAAATTCAAGTCACATATAACACATTTAGCTCGTTTTATTCCCCATCTTTCAATTACAACAATTTCAATGAACAAATAAAACTCATCCTCAATCCCCATTACTCCCCAACACAATTAGGAAAGTAGTCATGTGTAATCTAAGAGTTTAACAAAGTTTAGAAGTCGCTTGCCTCAAAACACTTCAACTAGTAACTCAAATTTGAGTTTTACCCTTCCGAGCACGCTCCAAATCACCACAATCTATTCATAAATGGAATCTCACAATCAATACGAATCTAACAACACCAATATCGTGAAATTTGGAGAAAAGGGTAAAATGGTCAAAAAAATCTCGTTCCGAAAAATATTCTCGAAATTTGGAAATTTTTAGTGAAAAATGTTCCCCAAGAAATTTAGAATCCAATAGTGAAAACCGTTTCGAAAAAGGAGTTGAAATGAGTTCACAAACTCAATTTTTCTATTAAATTCGGATTAGGCAAAAACCCCCAAATTTTTCAGTTGAGATCTCAAATTTTGATGTTAAAATCCATAAATAATCGATGGAAATCAAAGATCTAAGTTGGAAATAACTAACCCAATGAATTCCTTGCGAAAACCCACTTGAAATCACCTATTTTCGAGCTCTCAAAGTCTAAAAATGGAGAAATGGGTATTTTTCAAGTTGGGGGAAAATGGCTACTGGTTTTTGGCTTTAAAAAAGAAGAAAAAAGACTGCTGTTGCAGCTAAAAAAAAACACAGCAGCTGAAACAACAATAACACCAAAGTTTAAGTCCCCGTTGGACCCTCGAGATTCGTTCGGAATCTCGTGCACACAAACTAAATATGTACCCCCACTAAATTCGACGTTCCGGACTCAATGGAACTGTCAGAATTTGAATTCGAGGACTCCTTGACCCGAAATTCAATAAGATGCCAAGAAACTAGTTTAACGCCAAAAAAATTCGAAACTCAAACGGAGCGTCAAAAAATTCAACCAAGACTCATTCTAGACTTAGAATCGCCTCCCGAAACCAACGGTACTCTCGGAATTTCAATCCGAGCCTCGGAACCTCATATGTTGACCAAAGTCAACTCTTTATCACAATTTCACAACTTTAGCAACTTAGGACCTCAATTCTTCGTTTCAACTCCAAATTCAACTCCGTAACTTCACACAGACCCGTTTCGACATTCTAAAATTGCCGGAATCGACGGAAATCCGATTCGAGTCCCGAAACTCCAAATAACTCGAAAAAACACTTTTTAACCAACTTTAACTCATAAAAACTCAACTTATCAAAAACTCAACTTTTTACCAACTTTTCCTCAAACTAACTTTACAACCACAAAACATGGGACTCGGGGCAACTACCGAAAGGGCAAAATAGTCATTTCCACGAAAAATTACCAAAATGACCTTTCGGGTCATTACATCATTCACCACTAAAAACCATGTTCGTCCTCGAACATAAAGTAAAAGAAAGTACTTGAAGCCTCGAAAAGCTGGGGATATCGGACCCGCATATCATCCTCGGACTCCCAAGTCGCCTCCCTATCTGATCGATGCCTCCACTGAACCTTCACTGAAACAATATCCTTGGTCCGGAGCTTGCGAACCTGTCTGTCCAAAATAGCTATAGGCTCCTCCTCAAATGTCAAATCTGGACTCAACTCCACCGACTCAACCGAAATCACGTGAGACTCATCCGGAACATACTTCCGGAGCATAGAGACATGGAAAACTGGATGCACGACTGTCAAACTAGGTGGCAAGGCTAACTTGTAAGCCACCTCTCCCATCCTCTCCAAAATCTCATATGGGCCAATGAACCTAGGGCTGAGCTTGCCCTTCTTCCCAAATCTCATCACACCCTTCATGGGCGATACCCGAAGCCAATCTCGATCACCCACCATGAACTCTAAGGGTCAAACCCTTCTGTCAGCATAGCTCTTCTGCCTACTCTGGGCAGTCAAGAGCCTACTCTGAATCACACGAACACGCTCCATATCCTCTCTAAGAATATCAGTACCAAGGGAGTCCACCTCCGCTGAATCAAACCATCCAATAGGTGATCTACACCGCCTACCATACAGTGCCTAAAAAGGTGTCATCCTAATGCTAGAATGATAACAGTTGTTGTAGGCGAACTCTGCCAATGGCAAGTGCTGATCCCATCTAGTACCAAAGTCGATCACGCAAGCCCGAAGCATATCCTCCAACACCTGAATAGTCCTCTCAGACTGACCGTCAGTCTGAGGGTGAAAAACTGTGCTCATGTCGAGTCTAGTGCCCAAATCATGCTGTAATGCTCTCCAGAAATGAGAAGTGAATATTGAACCCCTATCAGACACAATGGACACCGGCACTCCGTGTAACTGCACAATCTGACTAATATAAATCTGAGCCAACTTCTCCGTTGTATACCTCACTCGGACCGGGATGAAATAAGCAGACTTGGTCAGTCTGTTGACGACCACCCATATAGAATCATAACCACCCATGGTGGTAGGCAATCCAACTACGAAGTCCATAGCAATCCTCTCCCACTTCCAAGTAGGAATGGGCATCCTCTGAGTCACACCACCAGGCTTCTGGTGCTCACACTTGACCTGCTGACATGTCAAACACCTAGCCACAAACTCTGCAATATCCCTCTTCATCCCACACCACCAATAGTGCTGACTAAGATCATGATACATCTTCGCCGCTCCGGGATGAATAGAATACCTAGAATAATGAGCCTCCTCAAGAATCAATCTGATCAAATCACCAACCTTGGGCACACATATCCGGCCCTCAATCCTCAATACACCCTCGGAGTCAATCTTAGCCTTCTTGGCTTCACCATTCATCACCTTGTCCCGGATGAGACATAACTTCGCATCCTCATATTGATGCTCTCTAATCTGCTCCATCAAAGATGAACGGGCCTCAATGAAGGCAAACACACCTCCACTCTCCTCAGAAACCCGAAATCTCATCATGCTGTCAAATAACCTCTGAACATCCCGAACCAAAGGCCGCCTCTCAACACTAATCGTGGCAAGACTCCCCATACTAGGAGTCTTCCTACTCAAGGCATCGGCCACCACATTGGCCTTCCCGGGGTGATACAAAATGGTCATGTCGTAGTCCTTGAGCAACTAAAGCCACCTACGTTGTCTCAAGTTCAGATCCCGCTGAGTGAATATGTACTGTAGGCTCCTATGATCAGTAAATACCTCGCAATGAACACCACCAATTCCACATTGAACCCACTATCTCTGAATCGGCCCACCCACATAAGTATTCTATTCTACCAAGAGAACATGAATCGGTCCATCCGATTCACCACTAGGCATCCACCCACAAAAGTAAAAACACGTCTGAACATAGACAGAGAATCATAATCCAAAACCATGTTTGAAATGAGGTAGGTGGTCACATAAGAATATACAAAACCGAAATTGAACAACCCCAGATATCCCTTCCACGATGTCCATAACACACCTTCCCATTCGTCTGACTTCACAATCAGTCAGTCCGGCCTCATAACAATCATAGACATACTCAATTTATCCATTTTCTCATACTCTTTACAATAATCCATTAAAGCCAACAATATCAATACTACCAGAACATCATAGTCACACCGGCCAGTTACTTTACCCTCAGATGGCCACTAGTATCCAGTCATTCTTAGAAACACATCGTTGCTTCCAAAATTTTGAATTATGGTCCTTCCTCCTTCCATTGAAGCATTCCACGATCGATATGGGTCTCACCCAATCGCTAATAATCCAAGTTCTAAATGTCATAGTACCTTTTCATTGAGATAGAACTATTGAATCACGACCAATATCGATTACACGCGATCCTTTACTTACCCAGCTTCAACTATTATTCATACCATCATATATCTCATGCCGAAACTTGAAGCAGTTCTTGGTCACTCCAATAATTCCGTCTACTAGGAGCACACAACCTCTATTTGCTATCAAGGATCTATGTAACGCGTTATAACAGTCTGGATAATTCCATAAATAGAGTTATCAACCCAGTTCAAAAGCCTCAATAACCATGTAGAGCTATAAGTCCTTCCGGTTGGACACTCGTAAGCCACCTACCATAAGCTGAACAATTCAAACCAATTCAAAAACTGCAGAATTCCTCATACATCAACGTTTACCACCAACACCAATACCAAATGTTCAGAAAGTAGCTGATAACACATCATACATTTGTGCTGAACCAGTCCACCTTGCATTGTCATATCTAACATAAAAGCAGAAATTTACACAATCCTCAACTTCAAACTAAAGATCTACACGTGATGTCTTATTCCTTCACATCTCTTAACTTATATCCATCGTGCAAGACTCTTGTTCTTCCCGTAAATCATTTATCATTATAGTTTATTGGCCAAACATCCATCGCATATTACCTTTTACCTTAAGTCAAACTTCTCAAATGAAACTTCATCGAACTCTTCTACAATCACAAGTATTTAACTGCTACAACTCAAACCATGCAAAAGTCCTTCCAATGGCTAAAAAGTTGATACAACCAATCATCTCTTACCTTGTCAACCCACATCTTGACAAAACCAACCCGATTCCTTTTTAATTGTACCTTCTCGCTAAAATCCTTAATTGCCTTTTCACGAGTATACTTGTTTAAAATTTCCTCATCCATGGCTTATTGTTGCCGATTTCTTTTGACTCATCATGAAGTAATTAGTTCCCAATATAATCATGACCACCCAAGGGTCGTACCTTGTCCTAGAAACAAGATAGGATCGATTCACTCGATCCACCACTATAATTTTCCTTATAATTAATGCTTAACTCAAGCGTTCATAGTAGCAACCACTTGATTTCTCAATCGAGAATGCAACATCAACCTTCTGACTCGATTAGGTGAAACAACTGACAACTCAGATTTCTCCGCTTCCATATATCACTAGTACCACATCATGAACAACCGCTAAATCCACCACTAGAAGACATCAGATCCATTGAGAAGGTCGTACTCAAACAACCTGTTCATTTACACTCATTAAATAGTTGCAAAACATTACCAAAGCACTTCAGTCTTCGGCCGAAAATGATATGCACAATTTCATAAGCCCAATCGATGGCAGAAGCAACATAGCCCATAACCCTAACCAAGATAACACGAGTATCATTGTAGTCGCCGTACAATGACCTTGTAATGATATACACCCACACTATAAAACCACCGTAGAACTTCTGATTTTGGTTGGTGCAACTTCATCATCATAACATACTACGCAATCCATTCCCTTATGACGAACTTCACAAACTGTAGTTTCCAAAGTCGCAGCACTCTCAACATAGTCATTCTCTTACTTACACCATTCTTCATTGTCTAGCCACTTCCGTCGTATAAGTCACACAAGCACTATTCTCGTTGTTGAATAAATGACTGGAGAAATAAGACGTTTCTGAAGTCTCTTAATAAATGTTCATCTTCCAATACCATAAACTCAAAACACATCCCTTGGACACAACCTTACTCACTCGTCTCGAAGAGAATTCCATGTCTGATCACACTTCCTTTCCGCAAGCCAATCACATCCGCATCAAAACCAGATCTAACACTAAAATCACGCGATGACACCTAAACTCGCACCCACGCAGGACCAACCAAGAGTCATTACAATGAGAGAGAGAACAGAGTGAAGTGATAAGAATTAGATCGGACCAAGGACGCACGATAGAGAATCAAGTAATAAAGATCTTTCCTAAAAGTCACCATAGCCTCTCGAAGATAAGTACAGACGTCTCCGAACCGATCCTCGAGAAGCTACTTAGACTTGGCTTGTACACGTGAGACCTATGAACCTGGGGCTCTGATACCATTTTGTCACACCCCAAAACCGGATGTGATGGCACGTGCCCAAACCCCACCGGACACGTAAGCCTAACACCCAAAAACCCGACGATGCGGAATTAATAAAACAAGAATAAGATAGAAAGATAAGCGGAAGTCTTTAAATAAACACATAACCCCAGAATTGGTTGTCACATGTACAAACCTCTAATACGGAATCTGAATAAAATATACAAGTCTCATAGTAAAGTTCTAGAATAGAACAAAACAATAAATATAGATAACTTGAGGGCACGTCTAGAATGAACCGCTACCTCTCAAGTAAGTCTGGAAGCTCTAATCTGAAGATAAGTAATAAGCCGGATCTGATAGAGCTGTCAACCTACACAACTGTGTAGAAGCAAGGGTGAGTACCAAAAGCAACAGGTACTCGCAAGTAACACTAAACTAAGCTAAACTAGCAGCTACAAACAACTCCTTTCAATCCCAACCGAACCATCGAAACTTCATTCTAACAGCGATCCAACAACCTATACTACACAATTCATAATCAACAGATATATCCAACAGTGTCTCAACATCAACCTCATATCCTCATGTAAGAGCAAATAGATCATATATCACATGAAGAGGGGCAAATAGGTAAAGTCCACACACCACAGACAAAGATGAAGTCAAATGCGATGCAAATGCAATAATGATGTCATGTAGTCGTGATGCATGTCTGTCCTAAGATACACATCTATTGACGTAATCAGACCGCGCTGAATACTCAAATCAGAACCCATGGGGGCCACACATGGACCATGTATCACCGCCGGAACCAGATCCCATCGGCATCCAAATCGCTAGTCCATCTCATATATCTCTAGCCGGAGCTAGTCTCAACTGTGTCTCATATCCATCCATCCTCATATCAGTGTCTCAGAACTCATGCAACAGATAGTTCACACATGGGATGAATAATTAATATGCACATGTCATCAATCACAATCATATCACGATCACATCATAGTATTACACATTATCTGTCTCAATCACAACCATATCACGATCACATCATAGTATTACACATCATCTGTCTCAATCACAACCATATCACGACCACATCATAGTATTACACATCGTCTGTCTCAACATCAATGTCTGTATCAATCATAGCCTACTCATGCTCTTCTATCCCCTCAATATCAGTTATCACATGACTTATTCAACAAATTCAAGTCACATATAACACATTTAGCTCGTTTTATTCCCCATCTTTCAATTACAACAATTTCAATGAACAAATAAAACTCATCCTCAATCCCCATTACTCCCCAACACAATTAGGAAAGTAGTCATGTGTAATCTAAGAGTTTAACAAAGTTTAGAAGTCGCTTGCCTCAAAACACTTCAACTAGTAACACAAATTTGAGTTTTACCCTTCCGAGCACGCTCCAAATCACCACAATCTATTCATAAATGGAATCTCACAATCAATATGAATCTAACAACACCAATATCGTGAAATTTGGAGAAAAGGGTAAAATGGTCAAAAAAATCTCGTTCCGAAAAATATTCTCGAAATCTGGAAATTTTTAGTGAAAAATGTTCCCCAAGAAATTTAGAATCCAATAGTGAAAACCGTTTCAAAAAAGGAGTTGAAATGAGTTCACAAACTCAATTTTTCTATTAAATTCGGATTAGGCAAAAACCCCCAAATTTTTCAGTTGAGATCTCAAATTTTGATGTTAAAATCCATAAATAATCGATGGAAATCAAAGATCTAAGTTGGAAATAACTTACCCAATGAATTCTTTGCGAAAACCCACTTGAAATCACCTATTTTCGAGCTCTCAAAGTCTAAAAATGGAGAAATAGGTATTTTTCAAGTTGGGGGAAAATGGCTACTGGTTTTTGGCTTTAAAAAAGAAGAAAAAAGATTGTTGTTGCAGCTAAAAAAAAACACAGCAGCTGAAACAACAATAACACCAAAGTTTAAGTCCCCGTTGGACCCTCGAGATTCGTTCGGAATCTCGTGCACACAAACTAAATATGTACCCCCACTGAATTCGACGTTCCGGACTCAATGGAACTGTCGGAATTTGAATTCGAGGACTCCTTGACCCGAAATTCAATAAGATGCCAAGAAACTAGTTTAACGCCAAAAAAATTCGAAACTCAAACGGAGCGTCAAAAAATTCAACCAAGACTCATTCTAGACTTAGAATCGCCTCCCGAAACCAACGGTACTCTCGGAATTTCAATCCGAGCCTCGGAACCTCATATGTTGACCAAAGTCAACTCTTTATCACAATTTCACAACTTTAGCAACTTAGGACCTCAATTCTTCGTTTCAACTCCAAATTCAACTCCGTAACTTCACAAAGACCCGTTTCGACATTCTAAAATTGCCGGAATCGACGGAAATCCGATCCGAGTCCCGAAACTCCAAATAACTCGAAAAAACACTTTTTAACCAACTTTAACTCATAAAAACTCAACTTATCAAAAACTCAACTTTTTACCAACTTTTCCTCAAACTAACTTTACAACCACAAAACATGGGACTCGGGGCAACTACCGAAAGGGCAAAATAGTCATTTCCACGAAAAATTACCAAAATGACCTTTCGGGTCATTACATATCCGGTTGGTACTGATGATTGGTATGAGTTTCTGGCCCACCTCACTAGTGACCAAATTCAGTGGAAATATCCATTACTCTCACGTTCCCTTGCCTATATAAGATGTAGAAGGTTTTATTATATCGAGCTTATTGGGTTAAAAGGTCTCCAGCCATATGCTCCAGTGCGCGTGCTTCAACAGTTTGGTCAAGCACAAGTAATTCCTCTTCGAGCAAATATGAGGAATTCTGAAATTTCCTTTGGACCAAACTTTGAAGTCCCTAGAGCCAAAGAGATTCTTCATGAGTGGGACAATATCCTCACGATAGATATCGGAAATGGGCCTGAAAAGGAAATTCCAGAATACCAGGTATGGTTTCAAGAAGGTCGCAATAGTATAAGTTCAGAAGGTGAGCAAGGTTTTGAGGATATTGGAACGACGATTTGGATAAGACATTCTCGTCTTGGAACCAAAATAGTTACTCCTGAAATGTGGGCTCAAATGGAAAATATAATGCGATATTTGGACAATGCGGGAGCAGGACCTAGCAACGTGGGAGCATCATCTTCACTTCCTCCACCAGCGTGATTGATAGCAGTTTAGGCCAAATCTTAGATTTGTCTTTATATTATGTCATCTATTATGTATTTCTTAGTTTCTTCGTTGTACTATTTTATTTATATTAATGAAAGCTTGGCCTTTTGTTTCCCAAACTCGAGTTGTCACAAATTAATGGCTTGGATCAATCTATCATAAAACGTTATGTTTGACATTTAGGCCCACCTCTGGCAAAAAGAGGTCCCGTGCATATTAGGATACATTTTCTTTTTGAATATCTGTTTTGTTATATGATTTACTTGTTGTGTAACACGTGCTTGTTCTTTATTTATTTACTGTTATTATTCAATTACCTGCCTAATTATTAATATTATTGAAACAACGATCACCCACTTGATACTAATATTTCTCTCATTTGAAGGTTTTCTTCCTTTTGATTTATTTCCCCAAAGGTTGATTTGCGTTGACTACGAACTGGCGGATCATCCATACTTTACGAGATCAAAAGCACGTGCAGACATAACTGATTCAGGTGCATCTGATCAAAACGGTTTGGGACTTGTCACTGTCCTGAGAGATAAACCCGAGACTTCGGAAGGAATGGAACCAATCCCTTATATGTACACATTGCCAATTTGATGCAAAAAATGGCCGATATGCAAAGTGAGATTGATCGACTTCGAAACCTCACCAATTTGTCCATCACTTTGAACACGCCACTTCCCGAGCATGGAACAAACACAGCTACTCCGCCTCTTTTTCCACATGCTGACTCTCCTACTCCTCAATACTTTCCACCAAACCCTTCCCTTCACAAGACCAATCCAACTGCTTCCAAGCAATCCACCAACCCTCAACAACCCAACTTTCCACAAAACAATTCGCAACAAGCCAACCCTTTACCCTTCACTACCCCATATGCGCCCCAAACTTCACTTACCCAAACTCCAGTCATCCAAACTAACCCACTTACCCAAACTACCCCACTCACCCAAACCGCCTTACCTTCCCAAAAATACCAAACGACCCAACATACACCGGTGGCACACACTGCAATCCCTAATGTTCAATATGTGCCTCAAGTATATGTAGCGGAAGCTCAACCTTTCCTTAATCTAATGCCAGCCATTCCAGAAGTCGATCCATATGAAGAGATGGAGAAAGAAGCAAGGTCAAGAACGGATGACAATGTAGCAAGGGAGATTCGTAATTTGAAGGAAGCTTTCAAAAGTATCCAAGTCCATAAGGGGGTTGAAGGTCTTGAATATGAGGATTTATGTGTTCATCCCGATGTTGAATTACCCGTGGGGTATAAGGTACCAAAATTTGATGTATTTGATGGGAAGGGAAATCCTCGAGCTCATTTAAGGTCGTATTGTGACAAGTTAGTTGGAGTGGGGAAAGATGAGGCCATTAGAATGAAGTTGTTTATAAGGAGTTTGACGGGAGAGGCCCTTGATTGGTACACGAGTCGAGACCCACAGAAATGGAATAGTTGGGGTGCGATAGCGCAAGAATTCATGGATAGGTTTAAGTTTAACACTGAGGCAATTCCGGACAGGTTCTACTTGATGAAGTTGGAAAAGAAGTCAACAGAGTCATTCAGAGAGTATGCAATGCGGTGAAGAGCAGATGCCGCAAAAGTTCAACCTCCAATGGCAGAAAGTGAGATGACATCTCTTTTTATACAATCCCAAAAAGATGCAACGTACTATGAAAAGATGATAAGTGTTTGTCACGACCCAAGCCTAGGGCCTAGACGTGACCGGCGAATGGGGAACCCGAAGGAACCCCAAACAAGCCTCATAGCGTATCATTACACATCCTTGGTCGCGGAAGCAATTAAAATGACCATAAGCCATAAGCATAATCAAAGGGGAAAATCGGGACTAAGGGAGCAAGAAAAAAAGAAGAAGAAGAAATGATACTTAAATACCATAGCTGAGTCAAGCTCAAGCATAATACACAACTTGTCCAACACCACCTCTAAACATAGGTACTTTAGCGGGGGCCAAGACAAACAACTGGGCTCACCCTCATAGTCAAAACATAACTAAAAGGAAAAGTCTTATACATAGCAAAAGATCATAAGCAACGTCCCCGGAATGGAGGACTCACCAATAACCTTGATAGAAAATCGTATTAGCCACGCGGAGGACGAGGGTCAAGCGGTGCTCCGGTCCCTACATGGTGACATCATGTAGGCATAGAGTATGCGTTAGTACGTTGAATGTACTAAGTATATGGGATGCAATGCAATGCAACAAGGGATGGACATCATAGGCAAAATGCATAATCGTACCCGATAGATAGCATATTAATGAGATGATATGTATAATGATGCTTATATAAAAATCATATTTAGTAGGGCATAGTATATGTGTAGTGAGTGACCATCAATATAGTATTTCCAAGGCCTACCACCCCCTTGGAGAGGCGAAAGAGGTACAAACCCCTCAATGTGGTTACCCGGGCCTACCACCCCCCGAGCTAGGGACCAAGGTACAAACCCCTCGATATGGTTATACGGGCCTACTACCCCCCGTACTAGGCAACCAAGGTACAAACCCCTCGATACGGTTATACGGGCCTACTACCCCCCGTACTAGGCAACCAAGGTACCAACCCCTTGATACGGTTACCCGGGCCTACAACCCCCCGAGCTAGGCTTGATCGACTCACACACTATATAGAGAAAATCATATACATGTATCCATTTCATCATCATTTCAATACTTATATAATCATCCGACTCATAGGACGTACATTGGACCTTCCATTTCATAAGAATTCTATAAATGGCATTTTATCAAACATATGGTGGGCTACTTGTTCATGTAAATAAAATCATGTATTTTAAGAGTACTAAGTCCAACCAATTTCAAAATCTATATAAAACAGCCCACCAACAACATACATATATATATACATATATAACAACCTTCATAATTTGATCATGGAGGCATGAAAACCATAAACATCATATAATCATTCCTTTTCATGATAATATACAAAAATAGACCATAATAGGATGTGTAGTAATAATTCCATAATTCAAGAGTTCATAAATGATCATAAGGACCCATAAACTTGGAGTAAAATAGAGGATAAATGGTTGGACTTGTGGAAAGGAAGGTTTCCACAATCAAACCCACATACCTCAACTTTGGAGAATCCTTGATGAAGATTGGAATGGAGAATTGATGCTTGAGATTGAGTCTTGAATCCGGAATTAGAGTTTGAGATGTTTGAATTTGGTTGAAGATCTTGGTGGAATTTTGGAGAGGGTTTAGAGAGAGTTTTTGGATGTTTGAGAAATGTTTTAGAGACTTGGAATGAACTAATGATATATAGGGAATATCATATGCCCTTTTGGAAAAAAAATTGTCCAACACTTAGAAAAATTAATGGGGCGGGTGAACAGTGTTTCGGCTTACTGGAAATGGCACTTTTCTGCCGGCGAGGTTTTTACGAAAATGGTTATAACTCCTTCATCCTAACTCGGAATGAGGCGAAACAAATTGCGTTGGAAAGCTAACTCACAAAGCTTTAATTTTGATAGTTTGAGCTCCTTCCAGTTCCTTGTGTGCTGAGAGATATGCCCCTTTAAAGTTGACCCTCAAAATCGCATTTTTTGCGATTTTCGAATTTTGATACGGTTGTTCTAAAATTCGGGTTAGACTCATTTCCCACTCAATTTGACCCCCTGAATAAGAATATGAAGTCGAATTTCCGAAATGATGCACGGATTTTGAGATATATGGAAATTACAATTTTAGGTGTTTCCGAAGCACATTTTCGGGCATTTTTGGGGTCGTTTCAATATCTCCCCCTTGGGAACATTCGTCCCCGAATGTTAAAGAAACGTACATGAGGGACACAAACATGGCAATATCAGCCCACATAAGGATGCAACAATGCACTTACATCTTATTTCAAAACCTCAACATAGTTGTAAAACCACAATGAACTTGTCAATTTAAACATGAATGTATGCAATGACATGGGGGTTGAACTTAAGACCTGAGATTTTATAAAGGGCTTAGATCAATACCTTAAGCTTGAGTGGAGTGGAAAAGATAAGGATATCGCCTTTGCATGTCCGCTTCGGCCTCCCAAGTAGCACTCTCAACTTGTTGAGTTCTCCAAAGGACTTTAACGGAAGCCACATCTTTGTTTCTCAACCTCTTCACTTGTCTATCTAAAATCTGGACCGGAACCTCTTCATAGGTCAAATTATCTTCAACAACACCCACAACATCAAGAGACACAATGACATTTGGATCACCCACACACTTCCTCAACATAGACACATGAAATACCGGATGAACCAAATCCATTTCGCTAGGCAATTCCAACTCATAAGCTACCTTGCCAATTCTCCTCATCACTTTATAAGGACCCACGTATCTTGGGCTCAACTTGCCCTTCTTACCAAAACGAACCACACCCTTCATAGGTGACACCTTCAAATAGACCCAATCACCAACTTGGAATTCAAGAGCCCTTCTCCTCACATCGGCATAGGACTTTTGGCGACTTTGGGCCGTCTTCAACCTTTCTCTAATCATCCTAACCTTCTCAAGAGCCTCCATAACTAGATCTGGTCCTAACAAGGCCACCTCACCAACCTCAAACCACCCAACCGGTGATCTACAACGTCTCCCATAGAGAGCCTCAAAAGGAGCCATACCGATGCTAGAATGATAGCTATTGTTATAGGCAAACTCAATCAATGGAAGATGATCATCCCAACTACCCTTAAGCTCCAATACACAAGCCCTAAGCATATCCTCAAGTGTTTGGATAGTCCTTTCGGCTTGTCCATCCGTTTGCGGGTGAAAGGCCGTAGTAAGCTTAACTCTCGTACCTAGACCCCTTTGAAAGGACTTCCAAAAGTGTGAAGTAAATTGAGTACCACGGTCCGATATGATGGATAGAGGAATCCCATGCAACCTTACCAAGTCATGAATATATAACCTTGCATAATCTTCCGCCCCATATGTTGTCTTTACCGGTAGAAAATGAGCCGATTTTGTCATCCTATCAACCACCACCCAAATAGAATCAAAACCTTTTCTAGTCTTGGGTAAACCAACTACAAAATCCATATTAATTTCTTCCCACTTCCAAGTAGGAATCTCTATGTCTTGGGTTAGACCACCCGGCCTTTGATGTTCGGCCTTGACTTGTTGACAACTATGACAACCGGAGATGAATTTGGCAATGTCCTTCTTCATGCCTCCCCACCAATACACATCCCTCAAATCTCTATACATTTTGGTGGAACCGGGGTGAATGGAGTAGGAAGAATTATGAGCCTCCTCAAGAATTTTCTCCCTCAAACCATCAACACGAGGCACACACAACCTACCTTGGTACCTAAGGGCACCATCTCCCCCTTGGGAGAAAACTTCCACCTTGCCCTCTTTCACCAAGGCCTTCAATTCTAACAAGGACGAGTCGAGATCTTGTTTTGCTATCACCTCATCAACCAAGGAAGACCTAGCACCATCAACAACGACCACACCACCATTACCAACCTCTTCCAACCTAACCCCCAACCTTGCCAACCGATGCACCTCCCTAGCCATTTCCCTATCACCAATATCCACATGAGCTAGGCTACCCATAGACACCCTACTCAAAGCATCCGCCACCACATTAGCTTTACCGGGATGATAATGCACACTCATATCATAATCTTTAAGAAATTCTAGCCACCTTCTTTGTCTCAAGTTGAGGTCTTTTTGGGTGAAGACATATTGAAGACTCTTATGATCGGTGAACACGTCAACATGTACCCCATACAAATAATGACGCCAAATCTTTAAAGCAAACACCACCGCGGCTAATTCAAGATCATGCGTAGGATAGTTCTTTTCATGCACTTTGAGTTGTCTAGAAGCATAGGATATCACCTTACCATTTTGCATTAGGACACAACCCAAGCCAACTCTAGAAGCATCACAATACACAACAAATCCCTCAAGCCCATCCGGTAGTGACAATATAGGAGCGGACACAAGTTTATCTTTCAAGGTTTGAAAACTCCTCTCACACTCGTCGGTCCACTCAAACTTAGCCTTCTTTTGTGTCAACTTAGTCATGGAAGAAGCAATAGAAGAAAACCCATTCACAAATCTCCGATAGTAACCCGCTAAGCCCAAGAAGCTCCTAATATCCGACGGGGTCAATGGCCTAGGCCAATTTCTAATCACATCGGTCTTCTTAGGATCTACCTTAATACCATCCCCCGACACCACATGACCTAGGAAGGCAACCTCCCTCAACCAAAATTCACACTTTTCATACTTGGCATACAACTTCTCCTCTCTCAATCTTTGCAACACAACCCTCAAGTGACCCATATGTTCTTCCTCGCTATGCGAATAGATTAAAATATCATCAATGAAGACCACAACAAAGGAATCAAGGTGGGGTTTAAAGATCCTGTTCATTAGGTCCATGAAGATAGCCGGTGCATTGGTCAACCCAAAGGACATGACCACAAATTCATAATGCCCATACCTAGTCCGAAAGGCTGTCTTGGGAATGTCACACTCCCTCACCTTCACTTGATGATACCCGGACCGAAGATCAATCTTAGAGAAGTGGCTAGCCC